AAACAGTTTTCTTTTGAGGACTGATGAAAAACACACCCATAAAATGGAAAGGAAGTAGTGCTTGCTTTCTTGGCATGTTGAGAGAGAAAAATAACTTTTCTGGAAATTCCCATTTTCAATACAACTTCTAATTATAAAAATTCTGGCAGGTTTTGTTGTCCTAAGAATGGCTAAGTCTTCATTCAATCTTCCAGACTCTGGGTATACCATAAGTGTGGGTCCAGCAGGCAGGGGAAGGGGCTGCTTTAGGCCTGGGTCTAGATTGTTTATTGGGAGATTGGAAGGCAGCAGAGGGTCCATGTCTATGTGTACTTGGAGGGTGCAGGAAGGGGGAGGCCTCTACCAGATTTGTTGGCCTCTGCTTGACCTGTTGCTTAGTATGTGAAGGGATGACTGAGAGTTTTATTACTGATTATTATGTATTTTGATGTATTTTGTTGTTTTGGATTTGCTGTTATTATTGGATGATTGGCTATTTTGTTGAGTGTGTTGCTGTATCTAGTATTTCAGAAGCTACTTAAGTGAAGACAGTATTTTTCCAAAGGTTGGATAGTTACCTTTACTTAGAATTGCTTATATTGCTTTCATTGCAGATATGATTTTATTTGGTTTTGTCATGATTTAGTTCGCATGATCACTATAAATTTAATTTATTGTTGTATTGTTGTAATTTATATGTGCTATTGTTTGTTTCAGTTTATTTATATTTACCACAGACATTTTAATTATTGTGGAACTTTTTGCTGATTGCCCTGTAAACAGTACTGAGTTTGTATTGATTTGATGGTATATAAGTAGAACAAAGAAATGAATAAATCATACATTTCACTGTTTCAAGATGAGTTGGTACTATAGATGCACAAGCGTCTGGAGGAATTTGATCTGTAATGAATTTGTAACCAGAATTTGAGGGATAATAGGGTAACCTATGCCAATTGGCTTCCCAACAATTGATGACCATTCCAGGAACTCTCTTCTTTTTTATTTGGGTTAAAAGATCATTAGGTTTACATCTTATTTTATGTGGAATGTAGGAGAGCTACTTTGAATTGTGGTTTTGGAACACAAATGGACATTACTGACATCCTAAATTCTAGAGTGTTGCAGAGAGCTTGAATCATAAGACAAAATGTGCTTTTTTGTAGCATGTGTGAGTATACACATTACACCTGCCTGGAATACCTTAAAGCAGTTACATCTTTTCTTTGGTTCTAGTGGCTGCCCTCTGCAGCTACTGTGACTGTGTGGTCTTAGGAAAAGATGCATTTGGTTTATATACAATACATGCCTATATGAGTCCCAAATCCCATTTTGTTCTTTAAATCCTCATCTCTGCACATATTTTCTTAAAATGAAGATTTGTTATTATTGATCAATATTTTGATTACTTAAAATCCTATGGTGAGATGTCTTTGCATACCATAACTGACTGAAATAACACTTAAAAAAAAAGAATAGAGATGGAAAGAAACTTGCTCTTCATCTAGTCCAATGTGATTTCCAGTCAATATCTCTCATGGTACCTATCAAGTTACATATCCCTTTTTTTAAAAAAAATCTTGTTTCAATTAAATTGTGGACCAGCAATATAGGTCTAAATGGCATTCTTCAGAAAGAAAAACTGAGGATGACTACAATCCAGTCATTTTATTTTGTTCTGTTTAGGAAGTAGGCTCATCTTTCCAGGGGAAAACCCTCAAGATAGCTGGGATGAGAGGAAGCTTTTTAGAGGGCTACTGGAGATGGTAGAGAATAGTCTTACCAATTTGCCTTCTGGTAAATTGTTGTGTTATGACAACCTGTATAGACCTTGTGGCCATTTTGAGAAAGAGAAACATGCCTCCCTCTACAATGGAAATATGACATATTTTTATATCCCAAATATTTTTATTGCTCCAGAAAGATTTGGGACCATTGATCTGGTTCGTCTCTCTGATGTGGGATCTGCAGTCCAGGATGTTGCTACAACATCTCTGTCCATTCTTGCTGCCTAGAGTGAAGGTCCAGCACCTCCTGAACTAGTCTATTCCATCTTTGGGATGCCAGATTTTCAGATTTTTAGACTTTGTGTGTACCCTTAATCTTCATACCTTTGAAGAAATATATTGTCTATAAAATACATGGAAAGAATATGGTCATGTTTTCCAATTCATAAGGATTTCTGTTGGCTTTGTCAGGATGTGCTCCAGTTTGCTAATGTCCTCCTTCAAACTAACAAACCTACATATTTTCTTGCCTAAATTCTATTCCATTGCTATCACTGCCCATCTTGCTTCCATGACTTTGGGCTGCTAATAAAAATTAAACCGTAACAGACCCAAATTTAGAAAAATAGCCACATGATAACATAAATATAATACGAGTGAGATCCTCAAAAAGACTTTCATCCTCCAGCCATACAGCCAGGTTTACTTTAACAACCTGGCCCAGTACCTGTAATGGGTAGGGCTGACAACTCCTGGGAGAATTTTTGAAAAGTTTTTAAAGCTTTTAGGAAAGCCAACAGGGTCAAGGCCTTTCAAATCTCAGGGGGGAGTGGAATTCCAAAGGACAGGCAACAGAGAAGACATGCTTCCTGGGTCCCATTGAATGACACCACTTCAGGGAAGGCACCTGGAGCATTCTCACAACTAGTCAGTTCCGGTGGGACAAGCAGCAACAACCAGAGAGAAATGGTTCTGTAAATAACCTGGCCCTGTGGCACATAGGGCTTTATAAGTAACACAATCTTGTGGTACATCAATTTCCCCAACTTTACAAGAGGTTTTTCAACATTTCAGG